AGGTCTTGCGTAAGATCTTGGGTACAAAAATGTCCTGAGATCTTGTACCCATTTTTTCAAGATCTAGTGCCAAATCTTAACGTAAGATCTTGGGCAAGATCTTGGTTTCAAGATGTTGGACTAGGGAAATCCTTTGCTTATTTTTGTTATAAGAAAGATCTTTACTGTAGAATTAATTACAATTGCACAAAAATAACATAATTTTTATTTTAACATTTGTCTTAACCTTTTGACTATTGGCATTTTTTGGGGAAAATAAAAAAGTTTTGTAAGAAATATTCAAATATTATTGATGTATTTGATTCAAAATTTCTGCAATTTCTTGCTCAGTCAAACATCTACTTCTTCGAGCAGCCATTTTGAAAATGTGTGAAACAACGCCAGCTGTTTCAAATAATCAAAAAATAGAGTTATACGAAATAGACGTGATATGAGTGAGTGGCTAAAGTGACTCCTTTATAACAAGAACGAGAATAAAGATGGCATCAAGGACAGAAAAAGAACGACTCGCAAAGAAGCATAACTATAGACGTAAGCTGATCAGGTGAGCCGCGCGGAATGCGAAATTTGAGGCGCCGCCGCCGATGGTGGCGAAAGGCTCAATGGGTCCAGTCGGCAGCCAGCCGTTTGTTTTTTTCCTCTTTTGTTTTTATGGGAAGGAGTACTAGTAACATATTTTTTACCAGCCTTTTTATCGTGATTCTTGTTATTGTGTGCGTCTTAGTTCTACGTGTTTTTTCCTCAGTCGCTTGTTTTGTTTTTTATATGAAATTAGATAATAGTTAGCGGTGAATATAATGAAATAAAACAGTATTTTTATAATTTTTGCATTATTTCTCGTTTTGAAGTATCAGCCAGCCGAAAGTGGCGAAAAATTTCGAGGAATATGCTGCCAGCCTCCCCTTAGCTGTTTTTTTCATCGACTTACATCTTTACTTATATATTATACTACTTTCTTTTCGGTCAAGCCAAGGCATCCATCAATTTTATCCATAAATCTCTACTATCAACGTGAAAATTCGAAATTTTGCGGCGATTGTAGCGTTCATGGATAGAAATGTATGGATGCCGTCGTTTGACCTTTCTTTTCTGTATCTTTTTCTTTCCTATCGTCGACGCCATTTTTTTTTCTCTTTCTTGTTGTGTATAAAGGAGTCGCGAAGCCACTCACTCACGTCTATTTCGTATAATCCTAATATAAGGGTGTCGATAGTGACACCTTCATGCAATAATTGCAACTAGACGTATTTATATGTCGCCGGGAGATAAAGATGCCAATAGTAAGAGATCTCTTAGACTTTTTGTAAAGCCCTTCATTGCTCTGGTATATAATAAAACTGTATAATGAATTTTATTTTTTGCGATGTTTACACCGTTGGAGCCTATGATAGACACGGATATGTAAGACACGAAGCTTCTCATATGAGGTACAAATCCATATTTTTCAATGTGTCTCTTTTAATCAATTAAGAAGTATCTCGTCTGAGAAACGCATATTTTGACAAGAAATTGCGTTTCTCAAAAGAGATACAATGGAATCTCTCTCATTTCTATATTCCAATTAGAAATGAAATTAGTACTTTGATAAATGAAATTAAAAGAATGTTTTTCAACAGAAAGTTAATTTTAATCTTCGCTGTCGATCGTACATATTTGGAAAAAAGATCACTCGAGAGTGCAAGAGCTATAGATGAAACAGGGGAAGTTATTTTTTCGACATATGTTTTAATTATTAAGTAGCGAGTCCCAAAAGTTGAGCATATTTTCAATAACTTTTCTATGAGATAATTAATTGTCACATGACACTTCACGTACATCTGGTATGAACAATGTAGAGTGACTCATTTAGTAGCCACGTGCTATTTATCAGTCTATACTTCTGTTAGTGGCGGCACCAGGACAGGGCTAGGATGGGCTGAGCCCAACCATCCAAAAATTTGAAAACAGAGTACTCACTAGCAATAGTCACGTAAAAATTCTGAACGGATTTTTGAAAAATTATGGGCTGAGCCCAGGCACCCGAAAAATTCTGGCGCCGCCACTAACTTCTGTGTAGTTCGTCTGCAAAGTTCGTGTGTTCGATCCTAGCTTCGTGCAAGGATTGATTTTGTGTTTTGATAGTTTAAGTTTCAGAATGATATAATGGGAATTTATATTCTCGATTTCGTTCTGGTTCAAGATTAAAGCTTAAACCAACTTCTGTGTAGTTTGATGCATTTATCGTCTGAAACATTACGACCGCTAGAATGCATCAGAATGTTCACTACTAGAGGACTGCTGTGTTCTAACTGGATTGCAAAGATTGTGAAATGATGAAAGCTACAGCATAATGTACGATGATAATGAATCAGCTGATATAGGAATATTGAAGAATAGTCAAACTGTTATGAGTTTAATGTTTTCTAGTCTTTAATTCTCATCTCTCCAGTTTAATGGTTACTGAAATCGGGTTACCCCATTGCGTTTGTGCCCAGAGGTATCAAGACAATGAGCATTAGATAGTTTGTCCAAGATTATCGCGCTAGCGCCGCTGGCTGGATTCGAACTCCGTATCTCTGAAGTACGTTGTCTACCCACTAGCCGACTGACGAGGGAAGTATCCTAACTGATAAATCGCTTTTTGACCTAGTGGACTATAGGTAGTCGACGATGCTGATTCCGAATATCACCATGACTGCTGCTTCTAAGCCTTCAAAGACCGGTTTTCTAGAAAACCAGTTTTCGAAAAACTCTAAAGAACAACCAAAAGCTTTTTAATGAAGCGTAATTGTAGTCTATACATTTCTGATTAAAACGAAGCATCTTCCAGCTCTATACGACCTTTCTTTGAAAAGTTATAGAGTTTACAAGAAAAGCCCTAAATGTTCATTGTCACCTCAGAGCTATAGAAAGAAAAAGGAAAAATAAATTTAGGGCTTTTCTTGTGAATTCTATAACTTTGCAAAGAAAGGTCGTGTAGAGCTGGGAGATGCCTCATTTTAGTCAGAAATTTATGGACTACAATTATACTTCATTAAAAAAGCTTTTGATTGTACTTTAGAGTTTTTCGAAAATTGGTTTTCCAGAAAACCGATCTCTGAAGGTCTAGCAGCAGCATTCATGGCGATATTCGGAATCAGCATCGTCCACTACCTATAGTCCACTAGGTTTGGGTCAAAAAGCGATTTATCAGTTGGGGTACTTCCCTCGTGAGCCATGCTGCTTATTTCTATTTGGAATATAGAAATGAGAGATAATGTAAGTTAGCTCTTTTGTAAAATGAGAGATTCCATTGTATCTCTTTTGAAAAACGCAATTCCTTTCCAAAATACGCGTTTCTCAGACGAGATACTTCTTAATTGATTAAAAGAGACACATTGAAAAATATGGATCTGTATCTCTTCTGAGATATGGCCGTAAAACAAAACCCTTTTCTTTTTTGTTGACGATCTTTGATCTATTCTTGACTATCATCGTCATCTAATACGAGTGCTTCAGAATAAATGGGCCCCTTAGGGTTTGCTCAAATCTCTCTTTAATGTCATGTTTTAGACTTGTTATTATTTTTTTCAAAAGCTACGCCGTGAAATTTTCTATAAAAATATACAAACTGTACTGTTATGGATTGCATCACCAAAAGTTTGTAGAAGGGAGTACTGCGTAGCTTGAAAATCGAAGAATTTTTTCAAAATGTTGTCGTACACCAATATGAGATCCGAATTCTAGTGCTTCGAAATGTTCCCTTACTACTAATATTTAATACAATCAGTTTAGATCCATTTTTGTTACAAAAACATTTTTCTCTGGTCATCCGCGATTTTGGCAATAGCCATCAGATGGATTCTATCTGTTTGTATAGTTAAAAGGTTTTTAAATGACTATCATCAGTTCTGTAGGTTTCAAAGTATGAAAGTAGATCAAAGCGACAGTTTTTGAATGAAGTTGAAGAGATGTATAATTAAAATATTAAGTGGCCATTTATTCTGAAGCACCCATCACCGTAGAATTTCATCTCGTTTCAATAGTTGCCAAAACTCAATATGTCGTCACATATGGTTGATGTTGAAATGATCGATACACTAGAACATCAAAAGAAGGACCTTAATACAGAGATGGATGCTGCTGCTGTGGAAATTGAACCAACAACCGAGCAAATGTTAACATTGGAACGAATTTCTGATAAAATACCGTTAGCTGCTTGGTTAATCGTATTGTGCGAATTTTGTGAACGATTTTCTTATTATGGTTTAAGTTCTCCTTTTCAAAATTATATAGAATTTCCCGTACCAACAGGAAATCAAACGCAACCCGGAGTACTTGATGAAGGACAGGCAACAGCTACAGGTCTAACAAACTTCTTTCAATTTTTTTGTTATATAACGCCAATTATGGCTGCGATCATTGCTGATCAGTTCTGGGGAAAATATAAGACCATTGTTGTGTTCTGTTTTGTTTATATGTTCGGCCTACTTGTATTAGTTTTATCAGCTATACCACCATCAATAGCACGAGGAATAGCATTACCTGGCTTGATTATCGCCATGATTATTATTGGCCTTGGAACTGGTGGAATTAAAAGTAATGTATCACCTTTAACTGCCGAGCAATATACTCGTACCAAGCCGATTATTAAAGAGATCAAAGGTAAAATGAAAATCATCGATCCAGACATTACGATACAATCAATATTCAACTGGTTCTATTGGTAAATGAGCCTAATTTCTGATATTAAACTGTCTTTAACTTAATTTAATTCTAGGGCAATTAATCTGGGATCTTTGTCGGCTATAATAACCACAAGCATTGAGAAACATCATTCATTTTGGTTAGCATATCTAATACCGTTAATAATATTTATTGGTACAATTGTTGTTATTATTGCTGGACGTAATAAATACATTAAAAAGCCTCCAACAGGCTCATTGCTATTGAAAGCATTCCATTCTATTCATACAGCATTTCGAATCCGTTATAAATATGGTAAAGATTCACGTACTCAACATATACTCGATTATGCTAAACCGTCAATTGCTCAAAAATCAGGTCAAGAAAAATTTAAATGGGATGAAGAATTTATTAACGATTTGAAACAAGCTGTTTTTGCTTGTCGTGTCTTTGTCTTTTATCCATTTTATTGGATATGTTATAATCAACTAACGGGAAATCTCATCTCACAAGCAGCTCAAATGAATGTTCACGGTTTACCAAATGATATTTTAATAAACATCGATCCAATTGTACTTGTGATATTTATTCCAATATTTGATAAAATAATTTATCCGACATTAAGAAAATATAAATGTCAATTTTCGTACATTCTCCGTATTACCTTTGGCTTTTATACAGCAGCTATAGCAATGGCTTGGACAGCTATTGTTCAAAATCAAATTTATATAACAGGACCTAATTTTAATTATGCACCTTCACCATGTGCTGAATGTCAGGCATTTAATAATGTCAATGTAGCATGGCAGGTTCCCTCCTATTTCTTTATAGCCATATCAGAAATATTTGCCAGTATAACAGGCCTAGAATATGCATTCGCAAAAGCACCAGCCTCAATGAAATCCATAATTATGTCCATATTTTTATTTACATCAGCAATCGGTTCCGCTCTCTCAATTGCCTTAATACCAGTAACAAAGAATCCAAAATTACTGTGGATGTACACATCATTGGCCGTTGTTGCATGTATAGTTGGAACAATATTTTACATCTGTTTTAGAAATGACGATAAAGAAATAATAACTAAAAAACATGACGATAAAGAAATAATAGCTGAAAAAGATGACGATAAAGAGACAACGCCTAAAAAACATGACGATGAACTGACTGTTTAGAAAATCTCTCTTGATTATCCAACATGTCACTCAATTCAACTTTTTACTCTTTTTCATCGATACAGTTTTGTTGCTGCGAATGGACATAAAAACAGTAAGAGAAAATTATATCATGATGTGTTTCATTACTATTTCCTTTGTTAGGACTGTCATGTTGTTATTATTGATAAGGGTTATAAATGGCAGTAGATGAGAAAGGGTAATTATACTGCTAATTATGTTCGTGAAATTTTAAAGCAACATTTTTTTTGTAATTTATTTATTGGCAATATTAATATTATATTAGTTTTTTGTTCTATTTTTTTGTCTTTAATAAAGTCGTTCATATTATGTTTCATATCCTATTGAATATGATATTAATAAACTTGATGATGTATATGTTTAATTTTGTTTGTCTGAATGTTGAATATTCGATGAATAATGTTCACTATTCAGTCAAAGTCTCTACTTATTGATATTATTAAATCTGATGTTCTTTTATAAATAACATTGTAGATATTAGACATTAAATTATCATCTTGTGTTATCAATGATGGCAATTGATTTTAAAGTGTCAGGATTTACTGTAAGTTCAATTGTTTCATTTTGTTGCCTTTTTATTTGTATTTCATAAATTTTCATTGATGTTTGTAAACAGTCATCTTTAAATTTTTAGTTTTTTTCTTGCTTGGTTTATTATTTCTATTTTTTTTTCTTTTTTGTGACGGTGTTCCTGTTCTTTTTACTTTTCATATTTTAATATTAGATAATCTATAGCAATATTTGATTTTTTATTACTCATCGTATAGCAAAATTACTAACTACATATATAACATAAAGTGTATAAACCGATATTTATATTTAAATATAAAATCATAATATAAGTAAGTACGAGTATTTTTATTTTTTGTTTGAATTTGTTTAAATTACCTTATTTAGAGATCTAAAAAGATGGCGCGATCAAAATCTACTTTTTTGTTTAACAGTACAACTATCAAATTATTGGTATTAGTTTTATGTAATTAAATTTTGCGTTCATTATTATAAGAAAAAGTCGATTCTTGTCGAACGGCTTTCAAGGATATCTGGTACTGTCCGTTCGACCGGCCATGAGGAGGGAGGGGAGTTGCAGAAAGTGAAAAACCAGTCATTTCGTCCCCAAAACCCTCTTTGAACTTAAAGGTGCGTTTTTCCTTCTCAAGAACGAAAGTAGCTGTAAACCCAATTTAAACTTTCGGGATGAAACTATGATTAATCAAATTTCAATATAAATTTGGTGTTTACAGCTACTGAATGAACTAGTAACAGACAGTGCATTATTGATCTGATGTTGTTAGACACAAGTTTTAAAAATTATTACCATATCTGTGCATATGAACAGAAAAAAATACTATTAAATACAAGTTTTTCTCGCGCGGTACTATTCGTTAGGGGTGGCGCTTTACCGTTTCTTTACAGGTAACGAAGTAACGCATGCGTTTATTTTTCATAGCTTTTGTAACGAGTAACGCAGCGTTATTTGCGTTACTTTAACGCTTTTTTGCGTTACTTTTCTAGTAACGCAGTAACGCTTGCGTTACTCGTTACCAGTAACGCAATAACGCATGCGTTACTCGTTACCAGTAACGCATAATATAGTAACGCTTTAGTCGCATTGTGTCCGGAAGGTGATAAAACAATACATTTTCGGTTGTTCGTCACTCATACAGTGATATTTGAAAGCGTTGCTTTACTCAGTAAAGTAACGCATCAGTAAAGAAAATGCGCCACCCCTACTATTCGTATTTAACTTCCTTCTATTTATACATCTTCTATGTTATAGTCCAACAGTTCCATAGGAAGTTTTCACATTTTTGCTTCGTAGAAGCAACGCTGACAAGCTTTTTCCATTTTCTTGAAGGCGAATTTTTAGTTGAAAAATCGAAAGTATTCGAAAACTCGCGTGATATACATCATTCGACTCCGCTTTTTATGTAGATTCCAAACATCAAACCTATTTTGATATCAAATCTTGAGCATAAAAAGTTGTCTACATAATATCAATTTCCTATTGTTTTAACATTTCCTTGCGTTGCAATGAGAAAAATACGAATTGAATCTGTTCCTCGTTTGGGGTACTATCTTGAATTTTTTGAATATTTTCCAATAATAGATTCTTAAAGAGCAGATAGTACGAGATAGTTTTTAACTGTTCCCAAGAGGTTTCCATGATCGCGATGAAATAAAATCTATAAAACGTATGATGATATTTTCTAACACGAAATTGAAATTTTTCTATTGAAACTTAAATTTTTTTTCTTTTAGTAGAAGAAACGAAATGAAAACTTAACAAGACGAGATACTTCAAAAACCCGATTCATCCAGCTCTTATTTATGACCTTATAATTTTACATAAATGACCATAGCCATCGACGTCGTCATTATAGTGTAAAAAAATAAATAAATGTCTACTTCTCTTTTGTGTTGTTGATGTTATTTAACAGTTAGCTCTTTTTATGATCACAATACGAGAATATGTGATGTAAATTTGATACGAGATAGCGTTAATTCTGTTGATAATATGATAACAAATTCTTTTCTGTAATTATTTGCTATTCATATAATTTGTATGACTGTGGAAGGAGTCGGTTTAGACTTCGAAACGTTTAGCAGTTGTAAATAAATTTATAAAATAAAATAAAATTCTACGAGGAAAACGAAATTAAAGTTAAAATATGATTCCTTATCATATTATTAACAAAGTTCGCGTCTTAAAAAAAACAGAAATGATAGATAACAATGCAAACGAATCCGAAAACAAGTAACATAAGCAAAAAAATTGTTTAATATAAAGTTTTATCTGTTCAATTAATTTTTTCTCCAAAAAAAATTCAAATTAACAAATATATTGAGCGAAAAAAACACATCTAACCTGTTTTTTTTTTATAAAAATCTAATAGTCTCAATTCAATTGATAGTCTTCATTTTATGTCAGTTGAACATAGACTTCAATGTCATTCGTTGTAAAATTTTTGCTTCCTGTAAATGTCACTCGACCTTTTCGAGTTGTGTCTGTGTACGAGTGTGGAAAATTGATATAACTATTATCATTTTTATTACTGTCACTTTCAATTTTAATGTCACTGCCTCCACCGAATGTTGGTCCAAATTCAATGTGATGTCTAACAGCAAACTGTGGAAATTGATAATTGTAATATTTTGTTGGTGAAATGTGATGAGGATTTGTTAGTGTAAATAAAAATGCCGATGAATCTTTAACATATTGATCAGTTGATGACCATGGTACGTTCGCATAACCACCAAATAAAGATCCATTGGTTGCTTGAATCACCGTTATTGTCGGACATTGACTATCACACAGACGATGAAATGATGCTGATGAAAAATCATCACGAGTTGCCTTGTATATCAATTGCCACTTTTGTTTCGGTTTACCGCAAAATTTATTCAACAAAAATTGATGTTCTAGAGTTAATAGTGAACCATTGAAAAATAGTTGTTCATCGTCATGTACCTCAGTTAAAATTTCATCACTTTTCATTTCCACTTGTTTCCAACTTATTTGATTTGACGCTGATTTTGAAATTTCAGTTGACTTATTGGAATTATAATCTTCAACGGAATGAACTGATGAACTTCTCTTCTTGTGAATAACATCACTTTCCTTCACTTCAAGCTTGTCTGAGTCTGAGTCTTCCGTATTTTGTTTTTTCTGTTGATGGGGAAGAAAATTGGGAGGAAAATCTTCAACGGAATGAACTGATGGACTTCTCTTCTTGTAAATAACAACAACGTTCGCCTCAGGTTTGTCTTCTTTCGACTCTTCCGTATTTTGTTTCTTCTGTTGATCATGTTCATCTGGTTTAATATTATGCATAGTTGTTATTTTTTGCTGAAATTCATTCATTTTCGTTGAGTACAATCTCATTTCATCTGCGAGGAGACGTTGTAATTCATTAATTCTGTTTGTATGCAGTTCCAAATCCACAATAATTTGTTGAACTTCATGGTCATACATATTTGTTGTACACTCTAATGAAAGAGAACTGATACGTGTATACGTCACTCTTGGATGGTGAAGTGTGTTTAAACTTAGTGCAACTTTAATTTGAAAGTTGTCCTTAAGACTGCGTAAAAAAGTGAGCATAAAATTGAATATTTTTATTGACTTTAAAAAAAGATTTTATGACAAACACATGTATTCTAGTACACATATGGAAAATGTACTTTTTAAAATGCATCAAATATCTACTGAACTTTTATCCTATATCTTCAATACTATATGTACACGGTTGGAAAAAATATTATTCCAGGGGGGTAACACCATCATTTTAAATAGAGTAGATGATGAATTTTATACCAAATGAAAGCCCGTGAAAAACGGGCTTTATTGATACTAAACAGTAAGGGTTATGAAGACCTTAGTGTATTAAACTCTCGAAGTTTATATAATTCTGTAAAATAGAAAAGTTATAATCTGCTTTTACCGGCTTGAAAGACCAAAAAAAAAGAAAGTTTCTTAGAAAAAATTAAATAGGCTATGTGGTAGTGGTCATACAGCGCAGCCTCGACTGAAAGGATATTATTATCTGTTCGCGTTCTGCTATCGATGCCTCGTGGTAGAGATTAATAAAAAGACTTTTTTGTTTTTCTTCTGGGAGAAAGTTACGAAAGAGAAAAGTTTGAATAGTTCGTGAAGTGGTATATAAGATCCATTTCTAATTGATATAAATCATAAAAAGAGAATCTGTTCTTCTAGTAAATCGACGAATTTCTATAAGTTGAAAATGGCTGGTACTTATGATACTGAACAACAAAGAATAATTGACAGAATTAAATGCATCGCTTTTCGTGAAGCTCGCGATGCTGGTGCAGCATTTATTAATCGACAATGGATCGCGAACAAAATTTCTCGAACAGATAATAATATCCTTTCAGTCGAGGCCGCGCTGTATGACCACTACAACATAGCCTATTTAATTTTTTCTAAGAAACTTTCTTTTTTTTTGGTCTTTCAAGCCGGTAAAAGCAGATTATAACTTTTCTATTTTACAGAATTATATAAACTTCGAGAATTTAATACACTAAGGTCTTCGTAACCCTTACTGTTTAGTATCAATAAAGTCCGTTTTTCACGGGCTTTCATTTGGTATAAAATTCATCATCTACTCTATTTAAAATGATGGTGTTACCCCCATGGAATAATATTTTTTCCAACCGTGTACATAACTTTGTATAAAGTATTTATATGGTTTTAATTCACGGAACCGGACCTATTTGTCATTTATTTAACAAAACTCGGTAGTTCTATCAAAGAATAAGCGTCTTTGATGTTGAGTGAAAAACTGAGTTCTCAATAAAACACTTCCTCATCTTGTATTACACCGAAAAACTTCTCTCTGTTTCAAATTTAACTACAATCAATTAATATATTGTAAACATTCTGCACTGCTTAATCACACATAGGACAAGTAGGTAAAGAAATCGAACTAGAGATATTACAAAGTACATGATTATCAAAAAATATTCTACAAAGCTCGGAGTTTTGAATCTAATGCTGACGGAGTTCTTAGAGAGCAAAAAACACCAACCAGAGGACCTTATTATACAGAGAAAATATCTAAAAACCGTTATTGCAAAGAAACATTACAGCACTACTAAAGTGGTCTTAACAGGGCAACAGCGATTCATAAGTGTATTTCTAACGTGTTTTAAACCGAGATTATGGTAAGACAGTGTTAAATCTGAGCTTCATCTACGAGAAACTTACAGCAGTTTGACATTGGATACTGATATATATATATATATATATTCAACTGCTTTTTAGTCCTGTTGCAAACACTATTTTAATATATTTAAAATCATATAAAATAATTATACTTACATAAAACAAAGTTAACAATAAGTTATAGTGCAATTGTATTTTACCCTCTACGAGTGTATTATTGGGTAATACTACCGTTATCTTCTTTGATATAAACCTTTTCCTCTAATTCTTCTGTTGACTCATTTTTTTTAAAGTATTTTTTTTTCTTTAGTCAAAAAGAAAAAAAGAATCAAACAAATAGTCTGACATTTTTGTTGTTGATCTTCTGTTCTGCACTACTGTATATTGTGTCCTCAAAAAATATATAAATACTTATGTATATATATATTTCTTACGAAGAAAACTAAACTTTACAGTAGAAATCATAAAAGTGTGCAAAAAAACGCCCCATTGTTTTCGAAACTGTATGAATAGTGTGAGTATTTGGTCGCTACTAATGAGCCCGCACAAGATTTATTACGAAAAAATAATAATTCTATTCGTTTGAGATATGAAATATTATTGATCAACAATATAAAAGCATTATCATATTCAACTAAATTCAAATCGTTACATCCACTAAGTACGTCTTAACTACGTTTCAAGTAAATTTTAATTTTATTTCGTTATTGCTCATTTTCCATTTCAAATATAAAATTTGATGTTACAAAATTATCGTTTACTTCGGACGTCAATATATCTTTAAGATTTATCTCTTAAAATAGGCAATTATTTGAAAGATTGTTCATAATTCTGAATATTAAACTATTGGGGGAGCACACTATAGCCAGTAATATTTGCGGATGTTTTTAAAGTGCTGACTGTATGCTAATAATATTGTGTTTAAGTCCATCTAATGATGTTTTGTCTTGCATTTGTGAACTTTTCGACTAAGATCAAAGTATAGTACCTATTTTCCATCATTAGGCTAATCCCGAAATAAGACTAGAGCCAAGTCAAAACAATAAATACAACAAAAAAGCATGTCCATTTAGCTAGCATGTTATGATGAGAAATGATAACATTTTATTTTTGTTATTGACTAAACCTTATCGAATATTGATAAAGTTAGTACTTGATACTTGTTGGGGGTCAACCGAATGAGTTTTTCCGTCTTAATACAAATAGCGTTCTAAATATGCATTTCTTTGTCACGAGTTACTGGTAGAGTTTAATTTTCAGTAACTGGTGGTATACATACTATTGAAAAATAAATAACTTTTTGTGCTAATCAGCATGAGTTACAATGATAATAAATCATGACAAAAAATTGATCTGACCTGAGATAGATTTTCTAGTTCTAAATAATTCTTCGAGGGCGATAGATGTTACTAGGCTGACATTGATATATTTTTGAGCGTTGGAGTTAAAACATTTTGTTTATCTTATTCATGAATCAATACAGAACGTTGACTTAGCAATACATGTGAGAGAAATGGAATTTTTTTTTGTTAATTTCTTCTCATAAAAATGAAAACATCAACAAGTTAATTTGTGAAAAAACAACTTGAGAAACTTTAAAATTCTTATCCGAACCGTACAACTACTACTTATTTTATCAAGCACCGATTAAAAAAACTTTTCAAAATTTGCGCCCTAAATGTCACACTAAATTATATATAAACGGCGTTCTTTTCGTTTGTTTTCTTGTTTCACAAGTTGAGAATACAAAAAAAGAAGCCAAGTTATGAAATGAGAAGCATATACACAAGTACTGACTATGACTAAAGAGCAACTACATAAATACATATATAATTTTTAAAAAATCCTCTTATAGTTCACAAACCAAGAAGGATACTAGGAAATAATCAGCAATAAAACAATAGTTATCCTCTTTGCAGTGGGAAATAAGGCACAAAACAGGAAATAATGCACAACAAAATTTATCTTGATATACCATTTTATATCTCACAATCAAAATGCAAATATTATCAAGTTGAATACAAGCGAGGAAGAAGATAAATTAACAAACTGATTTCGAGAATAAAGCAACGAAAACAACAAAAAAGATGAAATTTGTATGAGATGCAACCAAAAGTTCAACGTATTGTTACTTAACTACGGCGAAATATCGCCTGTAAAGTTATGAACTTTCAAAACTGAGATCATGTACAAACACACACACAAATTTCTTGTGTGTAAACCAAGTTGAATAAAAATCAAAAAAAAACGTTTAAGTTATAGCTGAATAATAACTAAATACGATATGTTTTTCTCAACACGATCCGTTTAAGTAAGGAAAATGACAAAAAAACTAAGTAGTAAATAATAAAAAGTTGATAATCGTTGTTGCTGTTTGTAAATAAAAATTACTGTGTTGTCGGTGTTGTTACTACCGTCGTTGTCGTGGTAGTTTGCGGTGCTGCCGTTATATTCGTTTGAGATCTTCGTCCTTCATGTCCTTGTCGTGGTGAATTAAAAAGCTTACGAACCCATCCCGTAAAACTCGACCAAGGACCCGCCGCTTGTCTTCGTTCTTGTTGATCTGAAGCCGTTGTTGTACCTGTTGGTGTAACATACGCCTCTTGTGACAAAAAATTTGATTGATTATGTACTTGTGTCGGAGGAATAGATGTCACTTTTAATTGAACATCTGTGTTGTCAGTTGTTGCATGACTAAGACTCAAATCACCTTCGGCCAGAACTGTTTTTGTGTCTTTAGTGACGGTGGTTGTTATTGTTGTCTGAGAAAGTGCAGACGGTACGGGTGTTGAAACGAGAACATTTTCTTTAATATCAGGCTGTAATGGGGGTATGGTGGCTGTTTGCTTCTTTATTTCATCTGTTTTTTGTTCAATTTTTTTTGCAGCTGTATTTGTAGTATCAATAATTTTCTCCTTGACTGTTTCAGTGGCACCAATAACGACTTTTTTTGCTTCTTGAGCCTAAAATATTCCAAATACTTCACTTCTCAGGAAAAAATATTGCTTCATAAAAGACAAGATTTTAACGATAGAGTCATATCAAGCCCGCTAAATCGTTATATGAACCTACTTTTTCTATTGTTGTGTCTTTGATATCGTTCGCTTTTTCTTGACTTTGTTTTGCTAATTCTTGCGCCTAAAGTATTCAAATAAAGTGTCAATTAGTTTATATGTCAGTTAGATGGACAAATACTGATGATGACGACATTGTACGTATTATTGATTTGAAGTGAGTTTAATAATAATCCAATAAACTTACTTTATGCACAGCTTGATCTTTGATATCAATGGCTTCTTTTTTAGCTGATTCACTAGCATCTGATACTGTGGCACTAAGTTGTTCAGCTTTGTGTACAGTAGTATCTTTAACTAAAAGATTCAAAAATATAATATCAATTAGTCTAGAAAAACATTACATGAGAAAAGATAACATATTGAAATTAAAACAAAAGAAGACACTTACCATCGTTGGCAACTTGTTTTGTTGTATTTATTGCGCTTTGTGTTTTATCCACGGCTACGTCAGCCACTTGAATGATTTTTTCTTGTGCCTAAATATTCAGAATGTTAGTCGATGCAATACGAGAAAAAGAAATGGATAATTATACCCTTTCATTAAATAATAAATATAGAACTTACTTTTTCTAGTCCATCATTCACTACTTCTTTTGTTTTTTCGTATAATTCACCACTTTTTTCGATAGCTGCCGCTGTAACACCAGCAACTTTTTCTTTTGTTTTTTCAGCAGCATTAACGACTACCTAAAATAATTGATTAGTGTTCGAATTAGACCATCATAAATTGATATTATCAGCCTTTCCTTTTCCATTTATTAACTGAATGACTTACATCTTTAGCATCAAGTGCTGTTTGTTTTGCTTGTTCAATGCCTGAATATAAAAATACAATGATTATTGGATAACTGAATTTAAACATAGTATAAAATTTTTTACCATGAGATGCTTTTTCAGTAGCCCATTGTTGTACTTCGTCTACTTTTTTTTCACCTTCCTTTTCCGCGTGGACTATTTTATCTGCTAACGTATGTTGTAAATCAATCGCCTTCTCCTTAGTATCCTGAGCGGTTTTAATTGATGAATCAATTACTTCCTCTATTTTCTTTTCAGCGTTATCAGCTGTATGAGACAGTGTTGCCGACATATCATTCACTTGATGAACAATTGTTTCTTTTGTCTCCTGAGCTTTTTCTTTAGTCCAGTCTGCCCATTCGCTACCAGTCTTTTTTGCATCATCAACTAATTCATTTGTCTTTTCTAAAATGAAACAAAAGCTAAATGGTAATTTTTTGAAAATAGCTCCTCTTGTATTTATCACACTCATACTATATAAGAGAGAGAGAGAGAGAGAGATAATAAATGTAAACACTTTAACGACAGGACTAACTAATCTTACTATTACGAAAACGCCACACAAGTAATCTGTAGATGTTAATGTAGATAAATTAAAAAACTTCATCTTCTGCAAAAATTATCTGCCCCCAAAATCTTTTCTTTTGAAATAGATAAACAACCCGCAAGATACAGTCAACAATTCAAACCTTTAGCATCGTGTGCTGTTTTCTCAATTTTTTCTTGTGTATTATGAGCTAATTCTGATGATGATTTTTCTATTTGATTTAATGTTTCATTTGCATGTTTTGTTTTTTCTTCAACTGGACCCGAGACATGATGATCAACCACTGGAGGATTCTGATAATTCGTCGTCGTTGTTGTTGTTGATTCTACGTTTTCGTGGTGTTCGCTTGTTGTTGGCTGTGGCGAGATTACTTGATGATGATCAAGACTAACTTGAACTTGCTCAATACTATGAGTTACTTTATCATCACCAATTATATATTGTTCAAGTTTATGACTGGTTTCATTTGGTTTATCATGTGACCATTTTTCATCTTGAATAATTAAATTCTCACCTAAAATTGAAATAAAAATTTTATTCGAATGACCGATAAAAACAGACTTTCATGTTTTAGTAATCCACATAGTAAGAATGTTACTTATAAATGTTCTTCTTTACCTCCATGTGCCGTATCTTGACTATAGACATGTACTTCTTCATGCGATGCGTTTGGGTTTGGATTTGGATTTGTTTGATCATGATGGTGATGTACATTACTAGTTTCACTTAATTTCTCATCTAATCGTACTTCACTATCAGCCACTTTATCAGTCATTATTCTTGGTTCAATCTAACAAGACTAAAAAGGACGAAAAAACACATAAGAGATTGCATTGCAGATAAAAATATTTCAAGAATACACCCACAAATGCCAAGAATCATTAAATAAATCTAAGACTTAGGACTTTTTATATTCTAACATAGTATGAATCACTAAACAATTATTTAGTCATAATTCTCAACTCTTCACACGCATGAATCATTTCTAAAAATTTTCAGTTATAGCAAAGATACCGATTTACTCGAACGACACCTAAATATCTTCACTTGATAGACAAAATGAAACGAACTGAAACAATCTATGATCTATCACGTTTCTATTTTGTTTAATACATCTAGTCGTACAAATAGCTGTCGATACTTTGAAATTAAAGACATAATATAAAGCAATTTGAATAAAATATTATTATATTTAAATAATATAAAAAAGAAAGTTCAAACAGAGCACACTTCAAGCAAGCTGTTGAATCATCCTAGATTTTTATTCATTATCAATAGGCTTTCGTATTGAACATACACAAAAAAATCTGTTTAAATAGTAATAATTGTCACATTATTCTGATGGCCAGAATTTACTATGACATATACTTATTTCCGTTGTTCAGTGTATGATTCGCAGCTGTTAACACTATTCATAGTAAATTTATAAACAAATCAAACTACGCGCAAGGAAGGAAGGGAAAGAAAGATCTATTTCATTTTTCTATAATAACCTGTTATTTATTTATTTATTTCATGTCACAGAGCAATAATGATAGGTATGCGTCAGCAAAACAAAAAAATGCGTGGGGTTCTGTTTAGTTTCGAAATTACTAGAAGAAATGGAAACGAGTTTTTTTCATACAGAATTTCATTTGTGTATTATATATACATATACATATATATATATATATATATGTTGCAATGAAAATTGAAATTTAGCGGAATTTAGAATTTCAGATTAAAATGTACATGTCTGTATATGTGATAAGATAAGGAATTCTATTGATTAACACGTTAAAGAAAAAATTTCAGATTACAAAGCATAAGAACAACGTTAAACAATCGGAAGGCATTTCTGAACGTGAAAATGCGAAATGAAACAACTATAACAGTCATAACGTCGAACTTTTTAGCGATGTTGCACTTTCACGTTCAGAAATGTCTTCCGATTGTTTAACGTTGTTCTTGTGCTTTGTAATCATAAATTTTCTCCTCGAAGTTTTAGTCAATAAAATTCCTTATTATATCACATATACAGACATGTACATTTTATCTGTTAAAATTGTAAAGAGAAAAGTTTAGAAATAATTAATTCAACATGAACATTCCGTGCCTGAGGAAATACTGGTCATAAAAAATCTCCGCGAAGACCTTAGTACAAATTGTGCTCATGTGCACTGATACCTGAAAACAGCATTGGTTTTATTTATCGGACAACCTAGTATTGCCATTACAGAGTACATAGTCTATATACGTAGATAAATTCCTAACACTTTGTTCTATGTGTTGATTAATTATTCATTCAGGAGTACAACGCTGATTAAAACGCATCTACAGTATATCTAGACTAACACCCAATAGTATACAATTGAATTAATCAGATATAGACAGCACATCCTAGCTGACATGCTTTTATGGCTCTTTCTCTTAATAAACGAACAAATTGACTACAACTTCTTGACAGCAAACGCTTATTTATCTTTGGTTATCAAAATATACATACATCGACTATATTATATTATAGAAAACAAAAAAATTCTACCGATAACAACCAATTAAGACTCCAGCACATCTAATAGTTTGAATATGAAGGTAAAGAATGTGGAACGGAAGTAGATTAAAATTTTTTTCTCTACAGTAAACCACGAGCTCACTAAAAGGATCAAAAATAGAACGCGAAGTATTTACATAATAATAAGTCGTTGATTTGAAACAAAACTAATTACATGAAGATCTTTTTTAATATAAACATGTTAGATGGATGAAAATGATGGATGTGGCAGAGAAGGAAAAAAAAGCAGAACAAAAATAAAGATATGTCCTTGAAAATAATAATATAAAAAGAGAAGAAAACAAGAAAAAGAATCACTGTGTCACAAGCTAGATATAGAGTAGTTCTATTAGTTTATTCACGCTATTATAAATAAAACGGAAAAACTATTCTGTAGGGGAATGCATGCTTTACAAGCACAAATAAAATATCTACGTGTATCGTTCGCAAAGAGAAGAAAAGGGTGTTTTTTGTACTTAACTAGGCAAAAAGAAATAGATCGCTCCTAGCATATGTAACAGATCAAATGTCAACACAAATAATTCATTGCAAAGACTCACAAAAACAAGTTGACGATTATCTTGTTACCAAAACATTTTCCAAATCTAGTTTAACTTACTTTGATCTCTCACTGTCTCTGAATAAACGTAATTTAGATTGTGGTTTGAAGAGATTCTTCCTCAGGATGCTTTTTCTGTGCCCATACCAAACAGATTTGAGCTCAAATTTGAATAGCGAAAGCTAGCTGATCATATGAACAGATCGTAATAAAATAGAGTAGGAATAGTGAATTACATTTTACTGAAACAGTAGGCGTACGAATCAAAACTAAACCTTAGATCAGATCAAAAGTGCATCCCAAAATATTGAATAGTGCAGATTCTGATGTAAATGATGCAAACGGCAAAATGAAATCTGTCGTAGTTATTGAGCTAGTCTTTTGTAGTAATATGTGCGATAATTCAGTTTTCTTTTTTTAAAATGACTTCTAATGAATGCCATTTTCAAACTTCTTCACCGCTCGTTTTCTCATTCATTTTAGCTCGAAGTCCGAAAGAAAAAACTGCTACAACTGGCGCATGGAAAAACAGTAAAAATAAACTTTTAAAATGTTTTCAAGGAAAACTTTCCTTTGAATTTAACCTTCAAAACAAAATATGTCGTGTTAGACAGGTAAATACTTTCTTTTACCTAGGTCGAAGTAGCCCAAAAAGTGGCTCATTCTTAACTGAGATTACTATTTTTCACTCACATTTTGCGCTTCGCGCCCTGTGATGTTTCTCTGATGTTAATTTTTATGTTATATATTTTATCAAAAAAGTGATCTCAGTTAAGAAGCCTCGCAATAAGTTTATTTCCTTGGGCATTCATAGTGTAGGAGAACAAAGACATGCCTCTTTTTCCAATATCTCTTCTCGCTCGTGTAAGAAGAATAGCCATGTTTATGTTCAAAATATCTAAATTTTATTGAGATGAAAAAAATAAAAAGCTTTCATTTTGTATCAAATTTTGAATGCATAACGCAATGAGTAATATGAGTCACATCTGTCCAGGTAGCTATATAAAACTGGAGCATTTCGTTGAGAAAAAAGTTTGCGATAAGAATGAGCAACAGAACCATACGCTGAATTCGCTTACCACCACAATGTAAAAATATATATTTTTAAAGAATATTTTCAATAACTTGAAATATGATGCAACCGAAATGATGTACGTTGTACACTATGTTTGTGCTTTTAAACTATTTAGACCATATAGAGAGAGAGAGAGCAAAACAATTATTCCTCGTCATTCCTTTTCTTTCTGTGAAATATAACATAGAACAGATAAAAAACAAAATAGCATAGAGACACACACACAAACTTTCGGCCGTATTTTCAGCCAAAAACTTCGCTATATGTCTGTATAACTACGTTACATCCAAATTTCAAATTTGTCTAGCCAAAACTAAAAATCAAGAACCTGATTTGAACTTTGACTAGCAAAAGTTCATATTAAGCTGATTTCAGTTTTTTTTAAACATGTATGTCAAAATACAAGATGTGGAGATTTCAAAAAAACAATATTAATTTTTCCTTTTCTACGCTCTTTAAGTACAGAATATAAGAAAACAAGCATTTATGTAGACTACATATCTATTCATCTCGTCTATACAACTACAAAATCTCTCTCTCTCTCAAGAAAAAGGCAGTAAATATGTGTCTGACTCAAGAATCATACGTTTGTGTGCCTATGGCTGTTCGCCAGCTGTTTTCGTACATACTTACTTAAAATATAGCCCAAATGAATAGAAGAAAAAACCTTGTGATTGCTTTTCACGATAATTATTATCACGAATTATTCAACGATGCTTAGAAATACTATAGAGGTCTCAAGAGGTTTTGCTATGTCTTAATCTGACAATCTGTATTTTCTATATCCAGTGAGGAATCTAGCCTGTAGTCCAAAGGAACATGGGCTCCTCAGAATTTGAAAGTATTCGCGTTCATATCGAAGAAACGCGAAAGAATCGTTTTAGTGGAATAGAATCGATCCTTGAAAAAATGAATAAAAATTTGAACTCTTTCAGTACTATCATCACATCCACATCTTCCTCTTCACTACTCTTTTAACGCACTGTAATCCTTCTTCAACTTATCTGTTACGTACAAAAAGATTCAATGAACAAACATGTATAAAGTATACGCCTTTTTTTTGAGTAATTTATCAGTAGATGTATCTGTACAGTGAAGAGACAAACGTGTCTTCACCTTTTTTTGTGATCTATGCTTGAAAATAAGAAGAAAATCTTCTTTGTAGGTTATCGCCATCAAAAACAGGACTTACATAAGTATGTATCAATTCTTTTGAAAATTATTGAAAATAAAATTCTAGTTCTATGGCTACTTATTTTAAATAGTTATTTTCTACAAAATGAGATAAAACGGGATTTATATTCTGAACTCCGATCAGTTGCAATGCCATTTCTTTGAAAAAGGATTTTAATTTGAAATTTAAAATTATCCCAGACTTCTCAATTGGCTTATTTTGAAGAAAAAGATATTAACTACAATCTCACATCATGAAGAACAATTAGTAAAAAATAGTTTGAAGGGTACAATTCAATTATCCCGCAGATGCGTCGAAAAAACAATTCTAGAATTTCTAGTCCTAAGGACAGGGTTTGCTTGAAGCAATTAGGATTGGAGCGGGATCGGCAGTTTGAAATCTACAGAACGCAAGAAAAATTTTCAGAATTAGGGGGAGCTCACTGGGTGTCTTTGGAAATTAGAAATGATGCTTTTCAGTTGCTCATTAAAACAAAAAAGAAACTACACCGCAGTGGCGTATCCAGATAGTGGGCAATTAGGCAATTGCCCACCAGTCCAAAATTTATTGTCCACCAGTTTTTGGAGATAATGGCAATTGCCCACTGAAAAATAATTTTGATACTCGTGTACGTTTGATGACTCAAATGATGTGATTTTAATGAGCTTCTCAAGATGAGATCTAATCGGTTGTTGCATAAAAATCAATCGGCAGTCTTTTCTATTTAACCAATGATCTCAATGATGACGATTCAATGATATCCTTTCGTTAAAATACTCGGTACTACATATAAATTCGCTGATGAATGCTTAGCTGTTCAACACAAAGAAAGCGAGCAAGCTGTTCTGTTAGTTGAGGTTGACGAATTTCTCTTCCATAATCCAATAAGTTTTTAAAAATTATTGCCCAATAGATTTTTCAATTGCCCATTGCTGTCCACCTTTCAAAATAATTTGACTGGAGAATTGCCCACTAGTTAAAAATTTCTGAATACGCCACTGCTACACCGATGTTAGATTGAACTCCAAAGTGCGCATTCTACAGCGCTGTAGTTTTTGATAATGTAGAAGTTAACAAAACGGATCAATATTATTAATTATAAAAGATCATGATCTATTTATGATAGCTGAAACAAAAATCGTACACACTTAGAAAATATTAAATATGTCAGGTCATATCAAGAATTTCCAGAAAATATGTGACATTTCGTGACTGATTTATTTTTTTATTGTCTCATTTGATCTTTAGCTTCGTCTTCATCATTATCTGTTGTCATAAAATTTACATTTCTTGTTATTTCAGAAAGCTTTTCTTTTGAATATGAACAAAAATAAAAAAAACAATAAGAATCTCAATGTATTCTTCATTTTAACGTTCATATTTGTACAGCGCCTGACGTCTGTACAGATCTGATGTAAAACTATGAGGGTTAAATACTACTTCCTTGAATGGCTTCTAAAATCTTCTTAAGTATAGTGCATGTAGAAGCACATGAATTGTTCACTGCTTACTGATATATTTTTCGTGGATTTAACATAAAAAAAGTTCAACATACGAGTTTTATAGAACAGCATTTGAAAGCTCGTTGGGTAAACTGTGAACGTAAATCTACATGGCGAAGTTCTAGTATGAAGATTGTTTAAAAAGAAAGTAAACGTTCTGGTGGATGATAACAGATTATGGTGCTTAGGGAACGGCTTTCAATAAGCTTTCAAGTATCATGCAGATAAGTGAAGGTTGTCGAACATTCCTCGAGTAATTACTTGGGACAATCAGATACAATTGTGCTATAAACTAACAGTTTATGCGCTATATATTCCCAAAAGAATGTTTATTCTAACTGCTAAAGGTCATAAAAAAATACTTAGTCAGAAATTACCCTCAGAACACGTTGGTGTGCGGTAAAATAAGTTTTTCATTAAAGCCATTCAAGTCCAAAACAAAAACGACATGGATTATGAATTTAAGCTCTTTTTTGGCTAGATTAACGAAAAAATTTCCCAGTTTGGAATTTCTAGTGTCAGAGAAATAAATTTATTTTCCAGACTAATGAAATTTTTATATTTGAGTTTCTGTAGCTTCAAACTTTGTCAAAATGTGCGTCTATATTCAATACATCTATAGTGCGTGCAACTTAAATGCATTTTCTCTATATACTGATTTTTCCTGTAAATTCGACGAAATGACAGGTGCGGATACAGAAATTTTCAGAGGTGCCTACGTGTTTTTCAGCAAAGATAGTGCTTAATGAAAACATAAAAATGAAGACTTCTAAATATATATTTAAAGAATGCAACATGTAGTTTATTCAATTTAATTTCATTAACAAAATAGTTGATCAAAGAAATTTTAAATTAATCAGTTAATGAAGACTAATGACTATGAAAAAATTTATAAATTAATATTAAAAGATGAAATGGTCACTTTTATTTTAACTGAATCAAATGTAGCCGTTCCTCCATCCGTTTAACAGGTTTTTTATGACGAGTAGAGAAATCTTCAGTGCAATCTAATGCTGTAATCAGTTTGATTGTACATTTCGGAGCTAAAGATCACAAGAAAAAAAGTTAATAATAGAATAAGTGCAACAAACATAAACACATATTACCAAAGAGTTGTTGAACTTGTTCGTCTGTTAAACACATTGGAGGTCCTGTAAGAAAAGAAATTAGAAACTATTGAGATAAACAGAAAATTTATCTCACACACGTTCTTACCAACAATTTCTTCATCATCATAAAACATAGCTACAACGAATAGTTTCGTCGTAGGAGTCATTAAACGAATTAGTACATCACGATATCTGTGATCGAATAAAAAGGTCGGAATCTAATTTTCAAATAAAAAATATCAAATTGAAATATTTACTTTTCTCGATCGGCAATATTAACCGCAACTAATCCACCTCTATCCCATATGACATCGATTTCAGGTAGCAATCTAAAAGAAAACATTCTATGAAATATTATGATCTGTTAGATATGTGAGTACACTTTGAAATACCTGTCGAATAAAAAGAAATCTCCATGATAAAACGTAATTGGTAACTCATTCGCCTATAGCTAAAAAACGTGAAAAGATACTTCATCTTAAATAATTTTTTGATCAACTCACTCTATAAACTTTGTAATTTCCATCATCGGTTATTGAATATGTAAGATTATGTTCGCTTAAAAAGGCCTCAATACCGACTTTAGAGCCTTCAATTCCGAATACTTCATGTCCTTTGTCTAACATATGTTTCATATCAAGGGTTTTACCACATAGTGGAAATAAAAATTTCATTTTATTTTCCTTACTACATACAATATCCATATTGCTTTTCAACAATCTAAATATAAATAATAGTGAATGTTAATAATTCAGAGATATAACTTAGGAGAGTATCATTAATACTTACTCGTGAATATCGGATCTATGAAATGCGATCTGTTCATCAACCCATTTCTTATTCCAATAATTAATATCAACAGTTGGTACTTCTTTGGCTGGTGCTGACATTTTTCAAATTTTTTTTTTCTATAACAAAACTGTATGCTAGTTGCATCTTGTTTTTTTGTGGTAATTATTATTAGGTCACGAGACCTAAAACGGACCTAAGATTTTATAACGTCTTTGAAGCTACTGTGTTGTTATATAAAAGAACTATTTCTTTTTAGAAAATTTATCTCTCATATAGTCATTATCTCATCATGTCTTCCTGTGACACCATTGCTAATATTACATCATGTTTTTCTGTTACATATCTTTCTCGACTATATGTCTCGACTACACAGACTTGTGTTTGTACGAAGTGTATTTTATAATAATTTGTATCTAAATTCATTTGTTACTTTGTTTTATTTCATTTAATTAATGAATTTTTATTCTGAGCTTTCGAATCACCGATTCAGTAAAATACAGAATAAAAATTCATTAATTAAATAAAATAAAGTAAGAAATGAATTTAGCTGCAAATTATTATAAAACAGAAACTTTTATTGTCAACGTCCTGCCATTAACAAAATTCAATACGAAGTGTGTGTGCTTTTGATTTCTCAATAAACCATTTCTACGTCTCAAATCAATATTCGAATAAGTCAGATGGAACCTGGCGATTATCAATGAATCATTCTCTCACCGAATGATTTGTACAAAGAAAGAAAGAAAATAATACATGCTAAAAAGTTTTCTTGCGTTCTGTGTAGTTTTGGGACCAATCTCCATCAAAAGAACGTTGATCATCGAGAAAGGTATTGTTATTGTATCAAAATCATTTGGATTTAAATATCATTGGCATGTGTAAATTCACAGGGAAAGTCAAAATTTTTCACAAAGACGATTTAATATCACAATTAAATAAGAAAGTTGTAGGAAAGATTGTTTTCTATCACATGAAACGAACAGAATAACTTTTTTTTCTATCTTCAACTCGTCCTAAGCATGGCAATGTTATTTTTCTAACAATCAAACAAGTTGAAAACTTAACTATGAAACTTCGGCAAAGTAAATGTAATTTCGAATTTTTATGATTATCTTTGATTTTATCATTTAACACCAACATTTGTTAAAATAATGTTTTGGAAAAACGGATTAAGTCGAAGCAATAATATTTACTATTTAAACATTACTATATACAATAAGAATATTCTAGTCGTTATAAAGATGCTGTTAAATATGAGCAGCCGGTGGAAATTTTAATTAATAATTTTTTTTGCACTAATTAATAAGATTCAGTACTCTTTTATATAAACTCTTCATATATATTATTAAAAGCTAAAAAATATTTATTAAATCGAGAATGGAATTTTACTATTGAAAATAAAATTAATAGTTTCATTACTTTTATAACGAATATTGAATTGAATGTATTGCAATTAGAAAATCTTTCTATCATTAATTTTAAGATTAAATCAGTTTTAGAACACTATCCTCATGTCTATTAAAACAAAAAGAAATTGAAAATGAATAAATATCTATGTGCAATCGTATGAAAAACATCAAATAGTCGATACACGGCTATTTTACTATATACGTTCAAATAGTTCATCACTTGCCAATATGTATGGACAACAAAAAGTATATAAAGTGGGTTATCCTATTCGACCAGTTATATCATCTGTTGGCTCATATAATTATGACTTATTAAAATATTTTTAGCTGAAATTATAATAAAAAATCGTCTATTATCATTTTCTCATTTGTAGAAGATTCATTTCAATTGTTAAACGAATTCAAAATATTCTGAGTAATCAAAAACAAATAATGATTAGCTTTGATGTGGATTCATTATATATCAACGTGCTCATAAAAGAATCAATTGAATTAATTTTAGTTATGTTATATAAATCGAAATTGTACACCTAATATTCTATTTAACCGTCAATAAATAAAACATTTATTTAGTATCATCATATTATAAATACGAAGTAACAATATTAGTCGAACGTATTAAAAAGATATGTATACGATTATTATCACTTTTACATGTTGATATTACATTTCGTAAAACACTAACATTTAAAAGTAAATTTTTACTATTACAAGAAGGTAACGATGTTAATAAAATTAAATAAAAAACTGATATATCGAATAGCACATAATCCAATACAGTCTAATTAAGACCACATCTATAATCGTTGAGTAATTAAAAAAAATTTTTCATGTTCTATGGATGAAAAATGACGAAGTTTATTATCTTATCTGACCACTGTCATCTTGCAATATTGACATCATTGTTCACTGCGTCTCAGACAATCAGGCATCTAGAAAAGAAATATCTATTAGTGAAAAAGTGAAATATATGTGCGTAATAATAGAATGGACTATCTTATGGTATAACCAAAAGAAATTCATAATTGGTTATGATGCTCTAGAAAATTTTCCGAATAAACGGTATTTAGTCTACTTTGCAAATACTGGGAAACTGAAAAAAATGGAATGAAAATCTAAAAAAACAGAATATTTTTTACTATAAATTTTATTTTCTCGACTAATTTGGAAGAAATATATGATCTCTCTCTCATAGTCATTCTTGTAAAAATGCAAAAAATTAGTTTTGATTAATAATTTTGTTGAAATGCTAAAATATAGTTGATTTTTAAACTCCAAAATAAATTTTTGAAAGTTTTCGCAGCCCTGAATGTACATACATCGAAAAAATACGAGAGAAATCTGGCAAATATGGATTAGTCAGATAAAATTGGAAATGAGTGAGTATTACAGTTGAGATAACTACTTGTTTAAAACTGAATTTATATCTGTTCTATTTCTATACTATTAGACAAAAAGTGATCTAACATGTTAATTTCCTTTCGGATCTACATATCGTCATACATATAGTCAAGTTATTGCATAATCTTCAGAAACCTATGAAATTTTTGAGTTTCATTGTTCTAAACTGCTAACAGCTTATAATATAATCAGAATTATTTCTATTATTGATTTCAATTTCATTGACTGAAAAAGCATAGTGGTCGTTTAATCTTTTATTATATTAAAGCTTATAATGTATACACACGGAAGAGATCTTTCAAAAAAAGACAAAAAACAAAACACATAGCAAAAAAAGAAATATTAGCTAAGAAGAACCAACAAGTAAACAGAAAAATGCTTTTAGCAAAAAAAAGATGTATAAAAAAACATAATGAGAGAGAGAGAAAGAAAACTCAGAAGAAATAAACACACCTCCAAATGTTGAGAATTTTTATTTTCGTGACTAGGTAAAAAAGTAGAGATAAATATATATGCCATTACGAAAACATAGTGAGATCTATTGTGATATATTGCCACGAATATATTAATGTTTTATATTTGATGATGGTGTAGAATTTTTTTTCAATCGATTTATTGATACGGGTAATTTACTTGTTCGTTGTTGTTGAGCTGAATTTGATGTTATTGATGACTGTTCCGATAGAATACTATCTTTGCTCGATGCACGACTCAATGTTCCTCCTACACTAATTGTGCCATTTTGTCCATCGCTGCTATTTTGTATCGATGATGGATGATCGATATCACTCATTTGATCCACTAAAAATGGAAAAAAGTTTACTATTATTTTCTTCAAGAATTCTATAATTATCTTCAACATACTTTGTGCTTGATCGGAACTTGTTACTGCCGATATATCTTCAACAGAAGCTGTTGACGACATTTCACCTTGATTCAATGATATGGAAGATGATGTACGCCTTGATTTATCTTTCGTCTAAACAAATGAGAATTAATCATTAAAGTGCAAAATGACATTCTTAAAGAGAGATATACTTTCGCTGTAGTCGAGCGTGTTTGCAATTGTTGCTGCTGTTGATGAAGAATGCACGATGGTCGATGTATAGTAATAAGTTTTGGTTTAAATAAACTCATCGTTTGACTAACACCATCACGTAATGAATAATGTTCATGCAATTCGTAGTTTGTTCTGCCTTTGGCTAAACAAAAAAAACTTCATCGTATACATTGATCAAAGAAAGTTTCATACCGCTATATAAAATTCATGCATACAACAAATAACTACTACACACCAAATATATTTTTTGCTTTTTTTCTTCAATATTTCAGTATATAGGGAACATCAAATGCGACAAACAAACAGAGTACAAAGGAATACATAAAAAAATAACCAGTTCCGTGCATATTTTTACACATCTATTTGAAAAGTTTTGTGCGAAAAAACAAATCTAGGTGTTCACTCGAAAACACAAAAATACTTTTGTCAATATTCATACTTTCTTTATCTTCTTGAATATAATATAAACGTCCTGTAAGCAAAAATTAGAATAAGAAATGATTCATTCTACTTCCTTCACATAAATAAGCAAACAAAAAAGATTACACATCCCAAAATGGAAAACGTTTTCTTGTTCTCAAACTATCTCTATAACTATCACAAGAATTTTAGTATTTGCCAATGCCAGTGTTTCGATAAATTCACTATATACATGCATTCCTACACAAGTTTTGATAATCATAAAATCAAGAATAAACAATGGATATTAACATATAAATATCTTACCTCGACACGGATCATGACGAACTAAAAATTCGTCTAATGCTGTCCATCCTCCACCCACACGTACCATCACTGTACTTCTTAGTATTCTTACTAATCGAAGACTTTGACTCTCACCAAACTAAAAACAAACGTGTCAGATTACTTTTGAAGGGTACTATTCAGTAAAGGCACACTACTGAACAAATAAAAAATAGAATCTCTGCTACGTCGCCATCTGAGATGGACATTGGCACAGAGTCCTACGTACAGCACGTCATTGAGAGGCGTGAAAGGCATTTAAGACGCGCGACGCTATGACCCAACGACATTAGGACAGATGAGTGTGACCCAGCGTCCATGCGTCGTGCATTCGGTAATCGACGTTAAAATGTCATTTTTAATATGGAACTTTTTCTGTTTTAAAATTATAAATTTTCGAAGTTTTCTGGAAAAATTAGACAAAAATCAGCATATAAATGTAATCTCTCTCATTTGATATTTAAGATCGGTTATTTTTGTACTTGAAAAAGTGATCCAATATATTATTGTCTTAATTACGGTTAAGAAGCTTTTCAACGTATGAACATCCATAAATTTGATAGATGAATAAATATTGTGTCTTTAATGTTATTGCAATCTACTTACACGATATCGTCCTTCAGCAACTTGTTGTACTTCGTATTTTTTTGAACACTGACAAAGTGATGCTTGTCTATTGACTTCTGTTTTAATTCGTTCTGTATCCGTAAATGGTCGAATTAACTAAATAGACAATAATAAATTTAACATTAGATTTTAGTTGTATTAGTAAACACAAACCTCTCGTTCTGGTTTAAGTGCTGAAAAAAATTCTCTATAATCAATAAAATTTTCTTTATCATAAAAATGATTTGCAACTGCGTCCATTTCTACACGATTTGTTTCAAAATCTATGAAAAAGACAGTAGAATAAATCATACAATTGTATGCTTAATTTCATTAACACTTACTTGTTTGTAATATTCCGTTGATAAATGCATCTCGGCTAATTTTACCCGTTCTATCTCGATCTAAACGTCGAAATATATCCATAATTCTAGCACGATTATCTCTCAACCATCCAATGTAGCGTCGACGCCATTTATCAAAATTAAAATTTTGCATTTGCTCCAACTGAATTTACAAAATCAAAAACTGTAAAAATATATAGATTATTGTTAATTATGAAAAACTTACTGCTTCCTCATGTTCAATGGCATCTTGTATTTGTTTTTGTTTTTGTTCGCCAGTTGTTTTTAATTGTGTCCATTTTTTAACTAATGTTCGAATTTTAGGATTTTGAATAGTTGTGGACAAGTTTAATTGTGACGGTGATGTTTTAAGTATTGTCTGTTGTAAAGTATTAATTCTTGTTGATGGTCTTTTTAATTTGCTCACTTTTTTATTATGAGTCATTGTAGTTGTAGATATTGTTGGTAAAGTTTCATTACGCGGTTGATAAATTTGAACTAATCGTTCAATATCATTTTGTCTATTAGATAAGTTTTGATTTATTTTTAGTTGTTCATCTAATAATTGATTCAATTGTTTTAAATTTGTTGGTAATGTTTCAATTACATCAGTGGGTATATTCATTTCATCTAACCATTGATTTAATTCAATGATTATTTTTTCATTTTCATCAAGATTTACTTTTAATTCTTTCAATTTTTCTTTTCGTTGTTGTGTTAAACGTTGAAGATCCATCCATCTTGATTTAATAACACTTAACCATTGTTTAATAATTACAATTGAATCTTGATGAGATTTATCTAATATAAATTGTCCTAATTCAATTATTGACATATAAAAATCTTCTTTATCCTTATATTGTTCTAAATATTGATCAAATTTCTCATTCATATCATTTAGTTGATCATAATCAATAATTTCTCCGGATGATAATGAAAATTTAAGATAATGTTCACATTTCATTATCCAATCAAGTAATTCTTTTGTTTGTTTATTAAATCTTTGTGCATATTCATAAGCTATTTCTAATTTATCATGTTTTACTTTACATAAATCATACATTTCATCCCATAAATGATCAAGATTTAACAATTGTTGTTCAGCTGATTGAGCATCATCATACGATGAGGAAACTAAACGTCGAACAGTCGATTTTATTGATTCAATTTCCGATGTACGAATATCAAATTCATTTTCAATTAAATTATGTAATTCAGTTTCATTAATAATTGTATCAATATCACCATAGATACGATCATCACGCAATGTCTGCTCGATAGATGATAACCATTCAATTAATGATTGTAAAGCATCATTACATTGACCACATAAAAGTAACGAATGTTCAATTTCACGTTGTCTAAACACAATGATTCATAAAATATTAATAAAATCTCTAACAAATAATAAAACCTAGTCAGGGTGATACATTCAGTGCCAAAAGGTGAAACTCCCTATACTGATTAAGATAGGTCAATAAAAATCAGCGAAAAATTTGCTTAGGAACGATTTGCTACTACTGTGTTTTATTTCGGGAAACTAAAAATAAGACTTATTCAGCTTCAGCTGTATTTCATATGTAAACATTTTTTAAATCGATGGCGTTCAATTATATATAATTGAACAGTATCATAAGACATGTATGTCTTATGACACTGTTGATCAAGTAATGCATTATTCGTGTGACACTCTTCATAATTGGATCGTTCATTATATTTTTTAAAAAAATCAATGAAGAATAAAAAAGCCACTCGATGTGAAAATACTGGAAAACTTTGTAACATAAAAACTGATCTTTGAAAAAATGGTTGCAAAAAACATAGCCGTCCTCTTAAGAGATTGTGACCACCTATAAAACATTCGTCTGATATCAGTCGATATCAAACAGGTACGTAAGAGATTGTGACCGTCCTCTTAACAGATTGTGACAGACCATTTAAGAGGCTGTAACTGCCTAAACAACATTCGCCTGATATCAGACAGGCACGTAAGAGGCTATGACCGACTTAAGTGGTTGTGAGCATCAATTTAAGAGGTTGTGATCGAAAGTGATATTAGATTTTAAGTAGGTTCCCCAAAACCCATGATAACACCGGTTTTTGAGTATATAACTGAAACTCCGTCTTCTTTGAAGTCTTGGAGGGAGTTTCACAAAAATATTCTCTTTGAGAGTGAACTTGACATTTTGTTTTCTTGAATATAGAAACTCAACTAAACTTTTAAAAAGAAAAAAATGTGATACTTTTAATAAAACAAATTCTTTCTACCTTTGTAATGACATGTTGCATAATTTTGTCCATTTATCTTTGAGACGTTTGCATAATTCATTTAATTTCACCTTATCATTGTTATCATTTGTCATTTCACTTAATTTTTTTCCTTGACGTTGTATATGATCATATGGAATCTGTTTTGTTCCTAATAAACGTGAAAATTCTTTATGTTTTAATAATTGTTGTTTTAATTCACCATTTTCACTTTTATTTATCGATTGTTCAACTAATTTTTCAATAGAAAAATCAAACCATTGTTCTAATTCTTGACAATCATTATTAAACTTAAACGAAGAAGAGGAAGAAGAAGAAAATAAATTGAATAAAAGAGATGAAAATATCTAATGTACCTGTTTTGCTTCTTGATATCCTTTATTTAATTCTCTTGTTCTCTCTTTTGATCTAGCCAATATTTTATCCCATCGTTGTTGAACAGATAATAATAGATTTTTAACAAGAATACAATCTTGTTTTGGACATATAAATTTAAGATGTGTACCTAATTTTTGTACACTTAATAAATGTTCTTTATATTCATTTAGTATTTGTTGAAATTGATCATGATCATCAATTTGTGTTAATATTATTGGTAATATACCACGACAAATTGGTTTTAAATTATTTAATTGTCTTTCAGTATCTGTTAACCATACAATAAATTTTTGTAATGATATATGAAATAATTCAATAGATTTTGATATTTCTGTTATATCTTCTCCTTTTTTCAATGTATTCTGTTGTACTTGATCAAATTTTAATTTTGATTGTTTATATAAATTTGTTAATATTGTAAGATTATTTTTACTATTATCATTTTTTATTAAATTAATTTGTTGAAATATTTTTTCAAGACGTTGTTCATTTGAATTTAATTCTAAACATAAATCATTAAATTTATTATTTTGATTTTTTGTTTCATGTCCAACAGCATTTAAATGAAAACCAACAATACGTTTATCTAAATTATCTAAATCTTTATCTAATTCTTCAATAGAATTATGAATAATTTGAATTTGATGTAAATAAGATTCTAATAGACGATATTTTTCAATTGAACATTTTAATAAATTATCCCATGTTCGTGTAACATCAACAATAGATTGTTGTATTTCATCAATATTTTCATTATAATTATTATCATTTTGTATTAAATTAACCGTTTCTTTTAATTGTTCAATATCATAACTAATTAATTCAATATCATTAATTAACATTTTTAATTTAGATATATCCATTTCAAGTTCTTTAACATCACCAACAACACCATCAATAGCAATTTTTGATAATTTTGATTCACAATCAGATAGAGATAAATAAATGTCATTAATTACAAGAGAAATACGTTGATTATGAAGAGCCGTTTCATATAATAATGTTTTACTAAGAGAAAATTAAAATAAAAAAAGTTTTTTATTCACTATTAAATTATTTTATTTGTATTCACTTACCGTTCTTGAATTTGTTCATGTATTCGATTCCATTTTGTATCAATCGATGTTAATTGTTCATGAATAATATTTTCTTGTTGATTTATTTTCATTTCTTGTATATAATCATCATCGGGTCGTTTTTGTACAATTTCCACATAGTCTTGTTGTAAATGTATTATATCCAAATATTTACAATCTAAATGATCTTTTGCTGTACGAATTTGTTCAAATGATTCATCAACATTTCCTTGAGATTCATTGTCTTGTTTAAGAAATGGTGCCAATTGTTCAATATTATCAAACCATGTTGAGACATTATCTAATTTTTCATTAAATTCAATAGATTTTATCATTGATAATTTTAATTCTAATTGACAATTATCTAATTTTGATTTAATATCTAACCATTCATGATCTAAATCTTTAACAGTACGTTGTATATCATCTTTATCTAAATTATTCTGACATAATTCTAATAATTTTTCACTTTGTACATGAATTGTTTCATTAAATTTTGACTCATTTAATGTTAATTTTAATTTTAAATCATCATGTTTTGATTGTTGTATTTGAATATAGTCTTTACTTGTCGAATATGGATGAATTATTTCTAATTCATATTTTATTTCTTCAATTAAATTACATAATTGATTATAGTTAGACCAAAATGTTTCTGAACATGTTAATATTGTCGATAAATTTTCATCACGATTTTCTAAATGATCTTTTATTTGATGCCATTGATGATCCAATGTTGATAATTTTTCATCAAAATCTACATAAACAAAACAAAAATATCAAATGGTATTACACTTTTAATAGAATATTTTTCATTTCTCTTTACCCTTAATGAAATTT